GTCCGTTGGAGCCTTTTTTGGCACTATAAAAAGGGGTGTTTGGGTCTGCTTTTCTCACCAATTCACTTCACAACATCTATACTTTCATTGCATTCAAATATCATCATTTTTTCATAGCTTTCTAGAGCCATTTTTGTGTGAAGGTTGAGTTGTTCTTGAGCGTACTTAGTTTACTCATAATCTACTCTATAAGAGAGTCTCGTTCTTGAGTGTACTTGTGTTCTTAGACACGTTGAGAGATAGTATCTCTCTCGGTTGATTCAAAGGAAGGATTGTTTCCTTTGAAGGATTCGTTGAGGTTCGTGTGACTCGAACTCTCAAGTTGTAACGGTTTGTTAAGCACCCGCAAGCTTAACGAGATAGTAGTGTAGCTCGAGAGAGTCTCTCGGGAGGCTGGATTAGCCACAAGTTGTGGTGAACCAGGGTAAAATTTTGTGTGCCTTTTTCTCTTCCCTTTACTTCCATTTTAATTTTTTAATTCCTGCGATTTCTCGGATCAAACGCTATTCACCCCCCCTCTAGCGTTGGTCTATTATTCTAACACGGATCAAGTCTGAGAAGCTAAAATTGATTTTCTAACCCATGAATATGAATTGTTTCGTATGAAGGAGAATGATAAAATCGATGAGATGTTTGAACGATTCTCCAAAATCGTCAATGATCTCCATGCTCTCAAGAAGACGTACACGGACAAGGAGCTTGTGAGAAAAATCCTGTGGAGTCTCACACCGGAATGGCGCTCCAAAGTCGATGCCATCCAAGAGTCCATCAGCATCACCAATGTCACCATCGACGGGCTTAGAGGTAACCTCAAAACCTATGAGTCTACCATTCTTTTCCCCTCTTTAGGTGAACAAAAGAAGAAGGGGATTGCACTCAAGGCTTCCACGAGCCAAGAACCCGTCGTGGAGGAATCAAGCGATGAAGACAACGAGTTCGGGCTCGTTGTCAAGAAATTCCACAAGTTCATGTGCAAGGAGTATGAACGAAAGAGCAAGAGGCATGGAGGACCACCCAAGTGCTATTGGTGTGGAGAAGTTAGGCATATCAAACCAAAATGCCCAAATGCCAAGAATGAGAAGGAGAAGAAATCATTCAAAAAGCACCGAGCATACATTTCGTGGGGAGCTGATTCCGGCGACGAGTCATCGGAAGGCGAAGAAAATGAAAGCGCCAACCTTTGCCTCATGGCACACAAGGAACCACCGGAAGAGGTGTGCTTGAAGGCATCAAGTCTACTTTGGTACCTTGATAGCGGATGCTCCAAGCACATGACCGGAGATGCATCCAAATTTTTGCAAATCAAACCAACTAAAGGAGGAAATGTCGTCTTTGGCGATAATAGCAAAGGAAAAATAATCGGCATTGGTTCGGTTGGTAAAAACGAAACCTCCTCTATTGATAATGTGTTGTTGGTTAAGGGTCTTAAACACAATCTCTTGAGAATAAGTCAATTGTGTGACAAGGGAAATCGTGTGACCTTCGATTCTAAATCATGCACGGTAGAACGTCTTAGTGACAATAATACGATTCTTCGTGGTGATAGAATTGATAACATTTACATGGTTAACTTAGATGATTCTCCCTCCGACTTTGCCAAATGTCTCATGAGTAAGGAGGACGATATGTGGCTATGGCATCGTAGAGTAGCTCATGTCAACATGAACCTCTTGAATAAATTGGTTTCACAAGACCTAGTAGTTGGTCTTCCAAAACTCAAGTTTGGGTTCTGGTTGGGGTGTGCTGCACCTTCTTCTTTCTTTGTTCCCCCCCCCCTGCCCCTTCTTTCTTCCACAACACTTTCTCATCTATCCTCTTCTTGGACATGAGCCCTTGTGTACCTAATCTCTCACTCATTAGAAAGGCTAGGGACATTATGTTGGAATGCATGAGTTCAACCCTTTCTGTGTTGTTTAGTGTTGACTCACAGGTTTTGATAATTGACAAACACAATTTATTCAAGTAAAGATTAAAGTGCTACAACGACAATCACGAAGACTTGAAGTGCCATTCCTTGAAGTATTCAAGAAGGTGCACAAGATTTTGTTGAAGTCCGAGACGCGTTCGGAGCGCCTAACGGAGGACTCGGAGGAGTAGAAGATTTCCGAAGATTTTTTTTGAGTCTTAGGAATTATTGTAAGGATGACAAAAATATCTTCTCTCCAAAATTATTTTTATGAGAGTCAAAATAAAAATTATATTTATTTTTGGAGTCAGTTGAAAAATCTTTTTAACTGTTCAAAATAGTTTTATTGAGTCAGTTACAAAAAGTGTGTCAAACATTTATCAAATATTTATTTCGATATTATAAAATATTTTTGGTAAGCAAAAATATTTTATTCAAATATTTTTCGTGTACATCATTTGACACACAAAATAATTTTTGGACTCACTTTTACTCCCTTATTCAAATTCATTGAATAAGAGAGGAGGAGCGCTCCCTGATTCTTCTTGTCTCAAACAACGAGTTTGAGCCAATTCGCTCTCAATCGCAGCTGGCCTTGGGCCCTTTGTGTTTGCGCATTATTTCCTTATTAATCGATTAATCTTCCAAAATTAATCGATTAACTGCTTATCGTTGGTTTACCCTGGGCTGGAACATTAATCGATTTTTGCTCCTCTGTTAATCGATTAAGGCTGGCAGAGCTGACTAATCGATTGTTTATCTTCCTTTAATCGATTATCCTTTTCCTCACAGACTCCATTAATCGATTTTCGAAGATGCTTTAATCGATTTTTTATGATGCATTAATCGATTATGGTGATGCATTAATCGATTAATGTGCTGCATTTTTTCATCACAGCTTCTTTTCTTGGACCAACGGATATATTCCTTCAACCCCTTTATAAACCTCACTCCTTGGTCATTTTTACTATGAACAAGCACTCCTAAACTCCCCCAATCTTGAAGTTATAATTCTCCATTCATTTCTTCCTCAAATTGATATATTTTGAGAGAAAACTAAGTGTTTTCAAGAGAGTGTTCTTGTCATCCATAGAGCTTTAATCATTTCTCACTTCTACTCTTTTGAGAGCTATTGTTGAGAGGTTGAAGAAGATTTTTCTTCTTGTTGTTCAAGACTTATGTGACTTAAGTCTTGGTTGTGAAGTCTTGTAGAGGGCATATCTACGAGCGGTTGTGTCGAGGCTTGTGGGATTCAAGTTCTCGAGTTGTAAATGGTTTGTTAAGCACCCGTAAGCTTAACGGAAGTAGTGGTAGCTTCGAGAGAGTCTCTCGGGGAACTGGACTAGCCACGAGGTGGTGAACCAGTATACATCGGTGTGTTCTTTGCCTTCTCTCTTTTATTTCCGCTGCACTTACGATTATATTATTAATCCTGCGAAAATCGGTAATCACTCTCAACAACTCTATTCACCCCCCTCTAGAGTTGCACGCATTGTCTAACACATTATGGCTTGTGGACTGGGCCTTGGGCTTTGTGGGTGGGTTACCCCCTTCTTGGGGTGGTGGAAACAACCCTACCCCTGTGTACCCCTTCTGGATACATAGGGAGAGGGTTGGATCCCTGGTTGGGGTGTTTTTACACCCACTTCTTTCTTTGTTTTCCCCCTTTGTCCCCTTCTTCTTCTTTCTTCCTCTTCCTTTTCTCCCTCTTTTCTGAGTTTTGTTATTTCTTGTTTCTTGGATGCTAACCAAACAGCATGCCACCAGTCATTCTTCTGACTGGCCATGAGGTATGGTTAGATCCTTTGGTTTGGGGTTGAACTTGACTTCACCTTTTGCATTGGTATTTGTGTCTTGGCTTTGAATGAACTTTGATTGCATCTGGGCTTGATCAAGGAATTGGAACTCGATTGTATCTCTTGTGTACTTGGCCTTGCACTTGGTTTGAGGACTGCTGTGAATGGGGTTTGAAGGAACCTGATCTCTATTGAATTTTAGTGGATATGCCATCAGGAATACTCTATCTCCCCAACGCTACCCTTTGACCAACGCTGCCATTACCTAGTCTCATTTGCATGAGAAAGGGTCTGAGTTTTAAATGGTTTCCTATGGTCACTTCAAGTGCCTTAGGGAGACAATGAAGAATACTGTATGCTCTGAATAGAGAAATATCTCTGGACTGTTGTGTGCGCTGATGTGTTCTGAACTGTGAATGGTCATTTAGATGCCTACTTTGGTTTGAGGATGCTTACTGTCAAACAAGACTACTGCCTTGCGGACTAGGATTGTTGATGATGACTGCCTTGCTGATTATATTTGCTGATGGTGTTTGCTGTTTAAAAAGAATACCCGATGGGATGCTGAAAATATTAAATGCAGAAGCTTTTGGACTGGCATCTGCTTACCTTGGAACTGAAAGCTGCTGCCCTGGATTCTAATGGGATTGGAGTGGGATTGGATTGCTTTGGTCTCTCCCCATGTTTAAGGGATGTTTGATATTGGTTGTATTGTTTTCTTATTGCATGGGTTTCGTTGTTGTATCGGTCTAGTATATGTGTTTTACATTGTTGTACGCTGTTGCTTTATGTTGTTGTACATTGTTGTATCACTCTATGCATGTAACCATTTTCATGGTTACGCATTGGACATTGTTGTACTTGTTTGATTTGGGGTAATAATAATTTACATGTTACCCTTGAGAAGGACACCATTTGTGATTCATGTCAAAAGGGTAAGCAAGTAAGGGCCTCATTTAAATCGAAAAATGTTGTGTCTACAACAAGACCCCTACAACTTTTGCACATGGATCTCTTTGGACCATCAAGAACTAAAAGTTTTGGGGGAAACTATTTCGCCTTTGTAATTGTTGATGACTACTCTCGATTCACATGGACATTATTTCTAACTCATAAAAGTGAGGCATTTCATGTTTTCAAAACTTTTCTCAAAAAACTTCAAAATGAAAAAGGCTTAACCACCGTAGCCATACGAAGCGATCATGGTGGAGAGTTCGAACGAGATCTCTTTACTGAGTTTTGTGACAAACTAGGCATCGAGCATAACTTCTCCGCTCCACGTACACCACAACAAAATGGCATGGTGGAACGTAAAAATCGTTGTCTCGAGGAGATGGCTAGAACTATGCTCGATGAGGCAAAAATTCCTAAGTATTTTTGGGCGGATGCCGTGAGTACCGCGAGCTACGTGTTAAACCGAGCCGTCATTAGACCGATACTCATGAAAACCCCATACGAATTATAAAAAGGAAGAAAGCCAAACCTCTCCCATCTTCGAGTCTTTGGTTGCAAATGTTTTGTTCACAATAACGGAGAAGATAACTTGGGTAAATTCGATGCAAAGTCGGATGAAGGAATTTTTCTTAATTATTCATTGCGTAGTAAGGCTTATAGAGTCTTCAACAAACGCACCTTAACCGTTGAGGAATCTCCTCATGTTGTCTTTGCCGAAAATGATGCTTGCTTGGCGAGAAAGGTTTCTTGTGATGATCTTGTAGATTCGTTGGAGAACATCTATCTCAACGACAATGACGAAGGAGACAACTCAAAGGAAAGCCAAGATGAAGAAGTAGAGCCACTTGTAAACGAGGAACAACCACAAGAGGAGGAAACGCCAATGCCAAGGGCATGGAGGACTTCAAAGAACCATCCTCTTGACAAGGTAATCGGTGACATCAACCGAAAGGTAAGTACTCGTAGCTCTCTTAGGGACACCGTAGGTCACATGGCTTTTGTTTCTCAAATTGAACCTACAACCATTTTGGAAGCAATTGATGATGAACATTGGACCTTGGCAATGCAAGCGGAGCTTAACCAATTCAAACGAAATGACGTTTGGGAATTGGTACCAAGACCCGATGATCACACCTTAATTGGTACGAAATGGGTGTTCCGTAACAAACTCGATGAAAATGGGATAATCACTAGAAACAAAGCTAGGCTCGTAGCTAAAGGCTACCAATCAAGAAGAAGGAATTTATTTTGAAGAAACTTATGCACCGGTAGCACGTTTAGAAGCTATTCGTTTATTACTCACTTTTGCTTCATCTATGGATTTTAAACTATACCAAATGGATGTTAAGAGTGCCTTCCTCAATGGATTTATTCGGTGCTACTAACGAATCTTTGTGCAAGGAATTTTCAATCTTAATGACAAATGAATTTGAGATGTCCATGATGGGGGAAGTCAATTTCTTCCTGGGTTTACAAGTCAAAAAAATGAGAGAAGGAACCTTCATTTGTCAATCAAAGTATTGCAAGGAGCTCCTAAAACGATTTGAAATGCATGGCTCTAAGGCAATGACTACCCCGATGAGCACCTCAGAGCACTTGGACAAAGATGAAAAGGGTAAGGAAGTAGACGTAAAGAAGTATCAAGGTATGATCGGATCCTTTCTTTATCTTACCGCTAGTAGACCCGATATCATGTTTAGCATTTGTTTATGTGCAAGGTATCAATCTTGTCCGAAAGAATCGCATTTAACGGCGGTAAAACAGATAATGAAATATCTTGTTGGTACAATGAACGTTGGACTATGGTACCCCAAAGGGTCTCCTTGTCATCTTTTTGGCTATTCCGACTCGGACTTTGCGGGTTGTAGATTAGACCGTAAGAGTACGAGTGGGACTTGTCACTTGCTTGGTAGTTCTTTAGTCTCATGGTTTAGTAAGAAGCAAGTCAGTGTTGCGTTATCCAAAACCGAAGCAGAATATGTTGCCGCTGGTAGTTGTTGTGCTCAAATCCTTTGGATGAAGCAACAACTAGTGGATTATGGCCTTAGTATCGATCACGTCCCTCTTCGATGTGATAATACTAGCGCCATAAGCTTGGAAAAGAATCCGGTTCTTCACTCAAGGACAAAACATATTGACATTAGGCATCATTTCATTAGAGATCATGTTCTCAAAGGTGATGTCGAAATTGAGTTCGTTGAAACACACAACCAATTAGCCAACATTTTTACAAAACCTTTAGAGAAAGAGTCGTTCTTCCGCATTCATAGTGAACTCAGAATCCTTGACTCCACGATGATCTAAGTTGTACATTAATTATCATTTTTGGTCCCTACTAACTTGAACGTCGAAGACGTTTTTAATTCTTTTTTGCAGGGCTTTTCTTTTAATTTTATTTTCAGGTGTCTAAGTCAGGGGGAACAAAGTAAATCGATTTCTGATTTCCAGACTTGGTGTAAATCGACTTACAGGCTTGTGATAATCGACTATCACAGCCCGCAGAAGTTTGAAGCAAATCAACCGCAAACCTCAACAATTGATTATCATCATTAGAATAATCGACTATCCTAGCTTGCAGAAGTTTGGAGCAAAACAGGCACAAACTAGCGACAATCGATTATACACATGGTGTAAATCGACTATTAAAGCCTGCAGATCCTTTGGCGGAGAATCAGAGGTCAACAACAATCGATTTACAGAAGTTGTAAATCGATTACCAACGGTAGATTTTCAAAAATCTGACCGTTTTATAGCCGTTTGAAAAGCATTTAATTGCTATTTGACTCCACCAACAGATCTCTAGGCCTCCAACTCTATAAATTGGTGATATCCCTTCATTTTTTACTCATTCCATTCCAATTTGCTTCATATATTCATCAAATTACATCAAAGAAAAAGATCCCGCCTTCAACGACTGTGCTGAGGCCACGTGGTTCTCGGAGAAGTTTGAGCACATGGAAATTCTTCCTCCCCGGTTCTCCACCGCCCGCTTCATTCATGATTCCATTCCACGTGAGGCGCGGGTTATCCTCGAATGTGGAAAATTCCTCGGCCTCCTCTACATCAAGAAGGCTCACTATCAACCTTTTCTCATTCGAGCTTTCTACTCGAATTTGAAAAAGGATGAGGACGGAGCGTTGATTTCTAACGTCAACGGGGTGGACATCTATTTGAATGAGGAAAACATTCAAATTCTCACAGGGCTTCGTCGGAACAGACAAGATCTCGGCCTCTATGTCGGAGAAGAAGGAGCGCAGTTCAACGAGACTGCACTCTTAAAGGAAGTGGGCATCAGAAACTTCGTCCCCACTCCCTAACAGCGGCGCCCTACGATTACTTCCATGAGTCCCGTGTTTCGCTTCATTTTTTATGTTTTGACACGGATTCTCAAGCCAAGGAAGTTCAACCACACCGCTCTCTCTCAAGAGGACACGAAGACGCTTCATGCGATGATTCACAACGCCAACATCAATTGGCGTAAGTTTGTGATGACTCACATGTTCAATGCCACCTCCGACAACCGGCCGCTTCCGTATGCTCTTCTCGTCATGACGATCCTTGATGAGTTCCACATCAATACGGACGTCGGGCCAAAATGCAAAGGGACGAAGCATTGGGAGATTGATGATTCCTCCTTCCACTCGGGCTCCGACGAGACTCCGTTTCGACAGCCTCGTCCATGCCGCCAACCAAGGGCCACCGTTTCAACCAACCCTTCTCTTGCCGAGCAAATGGCCGCCTTGACCGCCACTCTCTCTCGGATTGACACCAACATCTCCCAAACGGCCAAAAATATCAATATTTTGAGCCCTGAGCTTCACTGATATTTTGACTTTGTCAACTACTCCTACGCTCAAATGGTCCCTTATGTTCCTACGCCAAACCTCGGTGGTGAACCAAGCGGGACTAACAACGTTGGTGGAGAAGAAGAGGCGAACGATGAGGAAGAAGAGGAACAGGAAGCCGAAGGAGAAGAAGAAGAAGATGATGATGATGAAGAGGAAGACATCGATGAAGAACAACTTCTCGATGATCTTTCACCGGATTTCTAGAGCTCTAGCTCTTTTCCCTTCTCTTCTTTATTTATGTTTTCTTTAAATTTGCTTCCGTTGTGTACTTCGCTATTTCCCTTATTTAATGAATAAAAATCTTTATGGTTTTTGTTGTTAAATCTTTTTGTTAATGTCAAAAGGGGGAAGATAAGGGCTATGCATATATTAAGGGGGGATTTTTATTAAAGGGGAATTTTTTTTTCTCAAAAAAAAGAGATCAAAACCTTATGCATATCCCCGTATTGTTTGCCATTATCAAAAAGGGGAAATTGTTGGAACACACTTTGTACGTTTAACTAAAGTCGTGTCCATTTCTGACAAGTTTTGATAATTGCCAAACCGCCGTGGATATGAAGAGTTTCGTTGAAAAACTCAAGGCGTGAAGAAAGGCATGGAACAAGACCAAAAAGACTCAAGGACAAGATCAAGAATTGAAGGCATAGTCGAGTCGGTCTTTTGTGATCAAAACCGACAATCAATTCAAGTCTCGGTTCTCAAAGAGTCAAAATTATTTTACAATTTCATAAAATGTTTTTGTGCATCAAAACAAACTTTTTTAATGCCTTTTTATTGTGTTGAAATCCCTGGTCCTTGCTCAGAACCAAAACCACCTAGGTCGGTGTTCGGCATCGGCGTACGGCATTCGGGGTTCGGCGTTCGGTTTTTGGCGCCCGAACCAACTCGGTGGTTTTCAATGTTTTAAACCTCGTTTTTATCTCTGAGCATACTTAAAAGGTTCCCAAATAATTATTTTATAAAAACCACTTTTATATCTTGGTCAATCGGTCCAACACGTGAAAAACGGTCAANACCTAACAAGTTTTGTTTTCACTATTTTATACCATATACAATGGTTTTCAAACCTGGTTTTTACTTTTGGGAACACTTCGTTTTTGGGCCTCGGTTTTTCCAAACGAGTTTCAGCTCGCTAGACTTTAGCTGGGTGATAATCGATTCTCACCTTAGTGACAATCGACTATCCGCCTCTGCAACTTTGAACCTCAAAGTTCTGAAGCGCTCCGTAATCGATTGTCACTTATGCAACAATCGATTATCAGCCTTTGCAGCCAAAACCCAGAATCTTCTAAGAGGACCAATAGTCGATTCTCACTTGTTGACAATCGATTGTCTCGGTTATCGTTGTCCTCCAACGGATAAAATTTTAAATTTTTTGGACAGGGAATCTTTCAATAATCGATTATCATGGCTAGACAATCGATTATCACCTTGCAACTCTGAAAAATTTGTCTTCATCCTGTTGGAAACTCTAGCAATGGATTTATCCCATTTTGGGCTATAAAATGGCACCCAAATCCTCTCATTTTTCACACAATTCTTCAACATTTCAATACTGTTTCATTGCATAAGCATTCCTATTTTTCTTAGCTATTTGAGAGCCAATTCTTGAAAAATTGTCGTGTTCTTGAGCGTTTACTAGTTCACTCATATCTACTCTTTGTGAGAGTTTTATTCTTGAGTGTTTAAGTGTTTCTATACACTTTAAGGGAGGTTGTTCCCTTGTTGTAAACTCGAAGGAAGTCTTTCGTTCCTTCGTGAGAAGTCTTGGAGTGCGGTATCTCCGAGCAAAGGCGTTGAGGCTCGTGTGACTCGAGTTCTCAAGTTGTATCGGTTTGTTGAGCACCTTTAAGCTTAACGGAGTTAGTGTAACTCGAGAGAGTCTCTCGAAAGGCTAGATTAGCCACACGTTGTGGTAAACCAGGATAAAATTCGGTGTGCTCCTTCCTTACTCTCCTTACTTTCTCGCTCTCGTTTTTAATTTCCTGCGATTTTGCTTTAAACACTATTCACTTTGTTGATACTCATCAAAGGTATGTCTTGAACGAAACATGACTTTTTCAAGTTAGATCTGTAAGGTAGACACGATTAGCTTCATGGATTAAACTACAAGCTTGAAAAAACAATGAATTAGGAAAAAAAAGTAATCTTGAATTTTTTTTTAAAAGATACATATAGTGGTGACATGTAGATATACATAAATAATAGGAAATAATCATGTACAATTAATACTAAAGGGCGGAAAATCAATTTTAAAAATGACAATATAATCAAGAGGCACATAATAATCTTAAAACATCTTCATAAAGAAATGGGTAATCTGCAATTTAGTTCTCATCACTGGCGGATCCATACCTATGAAATGGGATATGCCCCCAGTGAATAGTGAGTAGGTACAAATCAAGTAGTGTAATTTCTGAAAATATTAAAAAGAAATTGGACGGGTTTTGATTTATGACCCCAATCAAAATAATATATGCCCCCATTCTAGTTTTAAAATACCTAGCATTAAGTCTCACTCATTCTTTATGACTAAGCCCAAGATTTAATTTCTTTTTCTTCTTAGTGTATTTTTTTCTCCATCCATGCGGCATAGTAGGTTGCAACTTGCAACAGTCTACTTTAGATCATTCTTGTTTAATTTATTCATTTTGTATTATGTATAACTTTTATGATCTGTTTATAAATTATTATGTGATTACTATGCGTGAAACAACATAGAAAAAATAACAATATATATAAAAGAGACATGGGATGATGGGAGTGAAAACATTTAAAAAAGAGGAACTATCCGGTTCGATCTTCTTCAAATTTTAAATACTAAATTGTAACTTTCTTTTTTTTAAATATGTGAATATATGTTTGAGATAAAATTAATTATTTGTTTGTCATTCACACTGTAACAAAATCGGAGAGACTCCGTTCTAGAGCTCCGTAGTGTTCCCGCTATTCATGCTTGAAGGAGTTGAAATTGCCCCCGGTGAATTTTTTTCCTGGATCCGCCACTGGTTCTCATATTCAACAATAGATAATTATGAAGGATCTATGAAATCATCCTCTTGAAATGTTAAAGCTTAGAAGGCATGGACTTAAAGTAAAGCTCATCGTCATCTTCAAATGACCCTAATTGATATGCGTCCCTTGGTTTGGCATGAACAACATGCTCCCAACCTTTATCTCTTTCGTCCTGGACACAAAACACTTGTTGTGCTTAAGACGATAAGATATAAGGATCATCCTTTAAAAGAGCTCCTTTATGAATCTTATGTGTAAAATTCAAGAGTGTGAAACCTCTTTTGTCTTTCTTAACTCCCCTTGAGTTCAAATTTACCTAGTCACAACAAAATAATACCACTTTATACTCTAAATAATAATCTAACTCAATAATGTGTAATGCCTCAAAACATGGCCTAAAAGTTATTCTATAATAAAAGTACTTTCAGAACAATATTTTGACCCAACAAATTATTATTTCTATGTTTGACAAAAAATGAATAAATTTTTGGAGTCAATGATCTTTTATTAAAATTTAGTTTTATGGATAGGTCTCGAAGAGACGAATCTAACGGTATATTTTATAAATAAATCAGATGTACAGGTTTTGAGTTGTGACATTTTAAATATATAACTTGTATAAAAATGAGAAACGGTTAAAGACGTGAACTTTTGTAAAATGACTAATTTGAATAAATCATTATCTTGAATAATATTGATTGAATATGAGAGGATTTTTAATTATATGTCAATTAAATCAAATTTGACTCTGTTAAAGTCAACCGTTCAAAAATATGATGTCAAAAAACGTATTTTAGAAAAATATGAAATTTTATTGTCGCATAGAGTTTGACTGTCTGATTCCAAAAATGCAATCCGTTTTCAATTCGGAGCCGTTTGGGTAAAAAAGCGTATACCGTTTTAACCAGTTTATCAGTTACGGAGTAGGAGATATTTTAAAATCTCCAAATCTTTTCAAATCACGCAGCCTCCCAGTAGCTCCTTCCATTTTCTCCAATAGCCTTCGTATTCCACCTAACAAACCCACTAACTCCCACTATATTATTAACATCATCATCATCTATAACATCATATATTACCATGACCATCATACACTCATCATGCATCCATCATCTCCTTCACCATCTCTCTCTCGGCCAAACACCAAGGAAAAAGGAAAAAAATAGTTACTCCATGGTTGTATGTTAATGAATAAGAAGAAGGAGCAAGAAAACCATCCAAAATTTCCAAATCTTGAACTCAAAAACGCAGCAGCTACTTCAAGGAAAAAACTGAAATTTTAATCCATATTTTCGAAATACTTTCTGCACGGAAGTTGTAGTCTCGGATGTTACGAATCCAACCCAACAAACGGTTCGCGATTTCGTTAAGTAACGAAGAAGATATGGCCAAAATACCGGGACTGCGCCAGTGGTGGCGAGCTCCTCGGGTTGGCTATGTTTCATCACCATATTCATATTGTTTCATTCCAAACACTCACCATAAACTATCTAAAGATTATTAGGAACTTACGGGAGGTATCATAGAGAAGGTTCGATGTTGGAATATTGAAGTTGATGAGTTTATCGTCGGAATCGTTGTTCATCGAAATATCCAAAATCCTGGAAGCACATATCCGTCCACTTTTAAGCTATGTTAGACCAGTTTCACTTCATTATTTTAACATGGTTTCTTCACAAAAGTTATAGCCTTACATCTTAGGAATCCACAAAAACAAACGGTTTGCAATTCCGTGAAGAAACGATGAAAATATGACCAACATACGGCAGGCTGTCCAATTGTGGCGGAAATGACAAAGTTGGTGAATTTTGACGTTGTTTCCACTCCCGTTCATTCTTTGAGCTTCATCACGTCAATTTCCAGGTTTGTACCATGATTTTAAACAACTTTAGAAGGCATTGGAATGATCCTTGAACTTATTGATTCATATATATTTGAAAATATAAATATTTTGATATTCATAATCACCAAAAATGTTTTGTTGTTAAAGAATCAAATAAATCATTTGTGAATGATCTATGGACGTTAGAAAACATTTTTATAAGTTAGTTTAAA